GAAATTGTTGTTCTGTGTGTTTGTTCACAATGTCCACTTTGTTCACATTTCATATAAATAATTAATCGTCGAATAACGTTCCGCTAATCAATGCAACTAATCTAAACATTACAGCAGACCGCGCACATTGCACCCTGCACCCTGCACAAAGCAGTGGGCAATAATGTGTTAATATTTTAATGCGACGCGTACCACGTATCATGATTTATGCTTGAATATTATAAGTTTTATGGCAAAAAACACCTCCACGCGAAAACGATGGGGAGCGATAGCAAGCCAAGAAAAACCAATTAAATGCATTAAAAACTAAAATGAAATATGTGGAAATTGTGATAACAAAATCCAACGCGGACGCAGCCACGCATCGCATGTGTATTTGTCACGTATTTATTTATTAATTTACATAAGTTACGTTGGTGTTTCTGTTTGCATGAGAGTTATGTTTATTTTGAATGTCCTATAGGCGAAAATGAGCAATTGCATGTTCTTCCGCAGTTTAGATGCTACTGTATTCTCGATAATAAGTGTTGCATCAAAGATAAAAACATAAAATAAAGTTTTACGTGTGCAAATAAGGAATTATCATAGAGAAAACACGCTATAAAAATGACAACAATATTATCTGCATTTTTACCATCAAATATCGCTTAATTCACTAAAATACTCAACTATTTAAAAAAAGTAGCCTATTTAGCTATAATACCAAACTATAATGTGAAACACAATTTTAATACAAAACAAAGTAATTCAGCTCTCGCGCATTGTGATTGTCAGTTTGGTTATTAAGTTGGTTCCACACAGTTTTAATAATAATATGAAACGGGCGCGCATTGTGACGTCGCGCGATAATTAAAACATGCATTGTTATTGAATCCGTACCGTGATGCGTTTTTCCGCGCGGGGCGGCGTAAACGAACCTGTATACCAATAAGCACCAAACAGAAATTATTAATTACCAACACATCATACGGTAACACGAACAATACATCCCCGGTGATATTTATTTAGTGCACAATGCATTTATTTTACAAATTGAGCTCGATTCTCTGTTTTTGAGCTTTATAGCTTTGAATTAGGTATATTCCATTAAAAGCTCTTACAGACAAAAATTCAATTTAAAAATTTTAGATTTTACCTTATTTATCTTTGTAAAAATAAAAATTAATTTGTGTATTTCTTCATTTTAATAGTCATAAGGTGTAATTTAATGTTTCATTTGCACAAATTGCATGTCCTACCTACGTTTTTTTAATTGCAAATGATGTTGCAATGTGCTTAATAACGAGTATAATTGGATATCATTAAAAACAAACAATAAATTTACTCGTTTTCATAAGCAACTTGCAAATATACAATTAACCATAAAATACACATGCGCTCATTGCAATTGGCATTAAACGCGTGTTCTTACAAAATGTAAATCAAACTAATTAAAGTTGATTAACTCCTTGACGTTATGATCACTCTGCGGGTATGAGTTTCGACTTGTTAGGTATAAATTTAATCAATTAGAAGACGTTTAATAAGCAGTTTTAATACATCTTACAAGTGCCCAAGATTAAAAAAGAAAAGAAAACGCGCACGAAACTGCATTAAAAGTAAAAGAAAAAGCAAAGTAACAAGGCGTGAATAAAAATGAGTGCTTAAAGATACCTACTTGTAGATAGTTACTAGATAGATGGTTATCGTTGTTTGTTGTTTTGATTTTAATCAAAAACTAAATGTGTTCGAGCTTAATTACAAGATCTTGATAAGTCTCAAAAAGGTGTTGCATATCGACACTAATCTCAAATTCATATAAAAATCTATTACATAATTTTATCTTTTGATATGCCGTGTAGTTCAGTGTAATGAAACGCACAAATCAGATTGATGTGAGATTGGGTTGTAATGAAGTTGTCACCACAGTTTGATTGCGTCTACCGTGATAATTGTGGTCAACCGCAGCGCACGCCACTGGTCTTTAATTATTTCTTTCGTCGCTTGCGTCGATAGCGAACGTCGATAGCACGCACGCAGCGATTCTCCCTCACGCGCACATCTCTTATCTGCGTGCGTTAAATGAGATATCGATATCGGCGGTGGAAAGCGCAAAAAAAGGGGGAGCGCGATATGGGATGCGCCGCACGCCATTCCCAAAAAAGACTCCGAGTTGTTCCTCGTTCGTTTTCCTTATTTCGATCTGAGGAGGCATGGAGTTTGCGCCCGGTTTTGTGTCGACGACTGTACCGAAGCGTAATATACGCGCCTCCTCTTCGCCGGAGTGCCGTGGTGTGTTTTAAAAGTTGCCGCCATAAATTGTCCCGGAGCGATCCCCCGGATCTCGCTTCGGCTCCTTATCAGTACGAACGTCTCCCATGCAAACGCAACGCGCCGAGGGCCGACCTCAAACCAGCGCTCGCGTTACATTAACGGTCCTGCCCTTGCGCCACCCTTTTTCTCCGCAGCCAAAGGATCTTCTTTGCTTCTTTACATCTTAGTGCACACAATGGACGCTGGTGTGTGCAGACGCGCAAAAACTTTACGGCCCCACCGACATGAATAGCCGCGGTTTGATTTACTCGCGCAAAACACGAATTATAAAATGTGTTGAAACTTTTTTTCTGCATTTGCAAAAAAAGATTGGAAATTTGGTTGGAGCAAAATTACTTAACACAGAGTGAGGTGTTAAGTGGACATAATGATAGGTTGGGCGCGTGTTGTCGCATGTGGTGTATAATTTGCTCATGTAGCAGAAAAGATAACATTTCTTTACTCTTCAATCGAAAACAGGCACGGATTTAAACAATGTCAATAAAAAGTTTTAGAATGCAAATCATGTTATAGGTTAAGACAGGTTACAAAATGATATTTAGGTTATGTTAATTGATATTTGAATTCAATCTTTAGTGCAACCCTGGTTATTGAAAATTACACCGCAGATGTAAGTACGGTGAGCACGTCGACCTCATCATAACATTTTAAGAGCGAAATTATATGTTATTAAGCCGCTCGCGCGCTCCAAAAAGATGCTATTATATTAACGAAAAACGCGTAATAGCCATGTGGGCCATAAGTGCACACAACGGTTGCGCCGGTTTCTTTTATTCCGTTTTAGGTCCACCGTGTGCAACAGTCATCGTCATCGTCATAACACGACTTCATTTCGATCCGCGTATGACCTAACCACACACACACATTTACACACACGTGTGCACAATCGATGAACCCGTTGAAGGCAACATGTAATACTAGGTAGATATCGGTTTGAGGTTGGTGCAGGTCTGCAGAACTGTCAGCCGACTCCTCCGGTCCATTAAAAGCGACTAATGCTTTGGGGCCTGCTCGCGCCAAAAGCCAGGCAGCCAGACACCGTTTGTGGGCTTGAATGAGACTTCGTTCGCGTCGTCGTCCCGGTCGCCTAAAGTGGCGATGACTGGGCGCTTTTTGCCCGACACCGAGTCATCCCATAAGTGTGCACTATAACTAATAACACCCGTGCCATCGTCGACGCTGGCTATACTTTATTATTGACCCTTTTAAATTAACTAAATGGATGAGGCCCCAGGTTGGAGCATCGAATGAATACAAATCTTCCTAGAAGAGCAGATTTTTTTTATAATGAAATCATGTGCTTGAAGTAGATGAAAGCTGTTGTTTGACTTTAAAAAGCAAAAATGCAATTTTTTATAAATGCTTCTGTCAGCGTTACATTGTGCATAAGTTGGAAACACCGCAACATGAAACTCTTCAGCACCCTGACGTGCTTTATCAATAATCACCTGGTTGTTCAAACCCCTCGGAACTAGTCGACTACCCTCTTTGAAAACGCACACCCACATGTAGGTATTGCTTGTAACCTTCACATCCTTCAAACTTTGCCACCACTTGGCACGAGTTACTACTAGTAGTACTAGAGAACATCTGAATGTGAAATTTTGACACTTAACAAGCGCCAAACGCTACATGACTTTCTTCCGGGACATGAAGCACACTCAACATGCTCAAGATCTACTTGATGAACTGGATCAGAAACCAGTAAAAATCTTACTATTCGATCGGAAAACCTAGTCATGCGTGTCTTTATTTCGTAGGTTGTAATAATTAATGTTTGAAGAAAACACGAATAGAATGTTTAGATGTCAACAGGCAGATGACACCGGGTAGTGTCGGCGCCGGCAAGTTGAAAAACGTGGAATTATTAGGTCTTGTTTGCTTCGGCGAGGAGCGAAACGCGCACACGAAAAAGTAAAAAGCGGAATGAGAGCCAATGCGCGTCATGGACATGAAAAAGGGGGCAGACAATCGTTAACGGGGAGGAGCGCGTTGATTTGTGGTCGCCATTTTGTCAAATAGTAGTGTTTTGTTACACGAACTTATCGGATTGGAGGATCTCCCTCCTTAAACACGAACAAGAAACGCGCGCTCCGCACGGCTGTCGGTTGAGTTTCCCACTGCTTTCCACTCTTGCAACTTGATCTTCGACATCTTCGACAAGCAACAAAACAGCCACCAATAAATCTAACCAATATTATAATTATTCCAAGACAAGTTCCAAAAATTTTAAAATTTTGTTAAAAATATATTTTGACTAAACCTAATTAAGACTTGTAGTTGGTTGGTCCTAAGTGACATCTGCTCAATTACAAAATTATCACAAGCTCTTTGTATGAAGACAGTAAGCAGGACCAAAAAACAAGAAAAAAAACTGCAAATCCCAGGACTAAACACAGAAAACTCAAAGTGGAACTGATGGAAACCCAGAGAGTGGATGTGTGCGCTTGCCAAACAGAGAAGAGTGCCGGTTAAACCCCACAAAGGACCTACTCCTTCGGGCTCTGGCGTCGCCTTCGTTCGGCTGGTGGGACTCCACCTTTTTTCCGCCAATGCCCCGCCCCTCATGCGCCGACTCGCTGCGAATAGCGGCCGAATCCCACCCGAACCGCACCGACCGAGACCGAGTGGGTTGCCAGGGGTAACGACCAAAGCTTTCCTGCCAAGTTTTAGTACAGTCGCGTATCTGATCGTGGTAACGTCGTGTTGGACAAGCTATTATCTGTCCAGGACCATGATACAGCCGCCTGTTCCGATAATCTGAAATTTGCTTCTCACAAAATTTCAGTCTTCTGAACTTATTCCGTTTTGGTAGTTTCTACTCGCGTGCGGCGAATCAGTGTTGCTTTTGTGCGGAATTTTTCGGGTTTAAACTTTGCGAATTGCAATTGTAATTGTGTATGTGCTCTAAAATAAGGATCTCTATAATATTTTGGTAAGTACCGAAAGTTATAAAAAGGATCTGTGGATGTATAGTCGCACTTCAAGTACCGAAATTTTGATTTTGAAAAAAAATTATCAAAATTACTGTACAATTATATCATTATTAAAAAATTAATTTTTGGCAATGACACTGATATGTGTACGTGAAACACAATGAGTATCATCACCTGAAGTGCTCCTTATCAGTAAAAAATCATTTGTTTCGAAACTTTTTATATAACAAAATCAAACAACGCTAGAAAACGATTAAGGATTTACTGAAGTACAAGGATAATCATTGTAGCGCACACACAATAGATACTAGATAAGATAGCAAAGTTTGATAACTTGTTTATTCGTTTCCAGATTGTCGTGGGCTAAAGATCTCTCCAGAAATCACAAGATCATCGTTCCGACGCATCGCGATCTTCTGCAACTGCTGGACTTAGTGTGCGCATTAAGAAACTGAACACGTTTAAAACAGAAACAGTGCGGTATTGCGGTTCGTGTGTGATGAAGTGTTCTAATTGAGTATCTCACTCCGATCGGCAGGCAGTTAAATGATTATGGAGATGACCAACGAAAGCGCCGCGAGATGGTACGAGCCGCCGCGCGCGGGCAATTCGGTGAGCCCGTCGCACCAGGGCGCCACCGCCGAGGGGGCCGTCGCGTCGGACATTAACACCAGCGTCGCTGAGCACATGGGCGCGTTCTTCCTGGACCCATCTGGAACGCAGAGGGCTGCTAGGTACTACCATCAGAGTATGCACTCGCCCTACGGCGCAGTGACAAGTCATGGTGAGTGAATCATATTTCCTAATCACCAAACTGAAAAAATAGAGAAAAATCTAGTTTGCTCCAGTGCGTTCCACGATTGTATTTAAAATAGAATTTGATAAGATAACACTCAATGAGTGTTTTTTCCCGTTTTCGGAAAAATTCCGCGTCATTGAATTTGGTCCATGAATGAAACATGAAACTCAAGTCAAAGTGCAAGTATTTATTATTATACCATTATATTTTTTTCAAGTGCCCTGTTGACACCTTAAGGCATTGTTTTCGACACGTTTTCACTGCGTGTCATTAATTAATTAATCGTAATATACGTAATAATCAATAAATGACTTCTTCCGTTTTAATTTTTTGTTCTTGCGACATTGAATTGTTATTATAGTTATAATTATAATGATAATTAGTTGATGAAGTAGTTAATATAACGATTAATTTGTTTGTTAAAATGGTTCGTCCGGTTGCACTCGCTTTCGTTGAGACAAACGCCTCGTAATAACAATAAAAACAACAATAACAACAACAACGAAACAAACACTAATGAAATGTAAGCGAATGATGAAAGCATCTCGGATATTTTGCGTGTTACTCGATTACCTTTTTGCTTGACGCAACAATTTGGGAAACAATAACAATGCCCGCTTGACACACAGAACACAGACCTAATTATGCAACCATAATGAACTTGTTTTTAATCAGAGCAGTATGTATCAATTGTAGTATGTACCAATACAAAATTTTTACAAATTTTTTGCAAAAACCGGCGACAACACGTCGCTAAACGTCGACAATATTTACATTAAACCTTAACTTAAGTATAAGTCGAGTACTTAAGTAGCTTTCGAACAAGGGTCTACTCTACCAACCTGTGCTATGCACAAAAGTCACTCCTTAGGTATATAAAGGTAATGCAAGACGTACCTATTCTTTCCTTTTGATTATTCTCGACGATTGCGCCAGCGTCTGACAACGTTGTTCCGTGCGGTTACTTAGTGGCCGAGGCTAAGTAAAATATAGCACTAAGTAGATGCTATGCACTCTTTGCTCAAATGCAGGAAAAGAATGGTGCGCGTTGTGCAGCAACAAGAGATAATGATATTCGTCGCAACACTAGCGCTCTTCCGTGGACCGTGGCGCGCTATGCATTATAGGTAATTATTATTAGGTACGTATCGGTTTTGGCCGGCCGAAGAAGGCACAAATAGACATAATGAGGGCCTGTTAGTCGCGTGGATGACTATAATTTCGTTCATCCTCCGACGAGGTGGATTCATACGACGCGCTTGGGATTATCGCCGATGAGTGCCTACATATCGCCGGCGATATGAAAAGATATAGGTACCGAACAAACACAGATTGTTTGGATTGTACTTGCTGAGTTATTATTATACACCTTGATATTTGATATGATTGTCAACAAACAACAAGAAAATAGATATTTAAAATTTTCTAAAGAAAAAATATTTTTTTCTGTCCCAAGACACCAAAAAATTTTTGAAACAAATTTCCCACATTATACTTATCGTGTGTTTGCATTTTGCGATTAAAATTCATCGCACATCCGTATAATGTCGGTACGTCGGTGTTTGATCAGAGGACGCGCGAGCCGGAACACTTTTTTCGCAGAAATGATACCACCGGGATTTTGCTATGAAACCGGGCAGCCCTGGAACGAACTGCATGCTTATGAGTCAAGCACTCGACGCGAATCAATACTATTATAAAACAATGCAAGCCCGCAGCGCACATGATGTACGCGTTCGGCCATAAATTTACGTATTCGCGCATAAAACACAATCGTTTTTATTACTTCATTATTAATTCGTATGCGCAGCCAGCGCTAATCAATACGACGAAAATGATTTATTGATTGCATGTGATTTCCCCTCGCATCCTCTCACTTGCTGGTCTGCAAGCGGCGGCGCGCGCGTTTGAAACGAATCGATGACTAAATAAATATTTAAATATGTAAATATTTATATTCGAGTCGCATAAATATAAACGAGCATCTTAAAAGTTCCAATGTTAATGAACATTTTGGAAACAAAATTACGGCCCGTCTTTTTTCCGGCTTGTTAGGAAAACTTTTGGTTAATTAAATTAAAACGTTGTTTATGTGAGCCACAGGATAATAAACTCTTGGTTGGTCTCGGTTTGAAAAATAAAAAGAAATATGAGAATACACGAGGATAAAATGTTTGAGGAAGAATTTTTGGTGTTGACGTGAGGACACTGTGGAATTTTTCTTGTTTATAGCCCTGAACAATTAATTTAAACAAACGTACGGAATGTAACTCGACGATATTTCGGAGAAAAGCTCAAGTAGCTTCGACGTTTCAACATTTCGACTTTAAAGAATTGCTGAAAGAGGGCATAATAATAAAATACGCGAATGGTATGAAGATTTATGTAACGATTGAATGAATGCTCGCGCATCTCGCTGAAGAAGCAACAGCAACGACTGTGCGCACCTGGTCGCGCACTATGCAATATTATAATTTATAAAGTATTTGTTCGAGCATCAACTATAACTACCATAAAACGCTATAAAACATACTCGTCGTGCATGTAAGTACGAACTAGTCGCGCGCGCTGCCAAAAGTGTGCGCGTACCTGCGGGATAAAAACAGCGCGTGATATTTATGCGATGACGATTCCACCACGAACGCGCGCCTGCAATGGCGGAAAGCGCGCTTGCGTACATCCCGAGGACATTTTTATGATCGCCGGCACGAGAAGATATAGCGCTATCAACTTACTCGACTTTTACATATATTTCTTTGTGGAAAACTATACGTTTCATGCGGCGGTAACAACAGCTTATAGTAAACGCATAACTACCAATATCCACGTTGAATAGGTAGGTATGTGTACCTGTTTCATGGATATACGTGTTTAGTTTTTTATTACTCTCAGACGACTTTTTTTTAAACCGAAAGAAAATAAATTTGGTCAAAATGTTGGATTTTTTGAATTTTTCGATCTAAAATCCACACTGATTAAATAATACATTCACGAATGATTCAATCAAATCCGTTTTGAGTTGTATAAATGCAATCTGTGTTTGTGTACTTACAAGGTTACGAAATTGAATGCCATTGTTTTAAATCTTAAAGTCTCTTCTCTCTCGGCGTTGTGGTGGAACACAAATTGCAGGTTGCTATTCGTGTAAAAGTACAAAGGTCACGTTCACAATATCACATCATGCCGGCGAAGACTGCTTCACACAACATAAAACATCGTCAAGTTTTAGATTAATTCAAGTACCACTTGTGCGGCTTGCTGATCGCGCATTTCGTGTTTATTATACGACGAAACAAATTGGCTGGTTCACAAAAGTGCCAGTTATGCATTATTTATAGACAGCGCTGGACGCACATCGATATTAAACGAAATGAATTTATTTCATTTGTTCAGATAGCAAATTGCTCGCGATTGGCGTTACGATTCGAAACGTCGATAGGCGACGAGAAGCTTCTTGCACGCACATACGGCTTCATACAAGTTTAATGCGAAGGCCGCAATCGAGAGCGATTAGTTTACCATATTTAGAAGTTTACTTACTTAGATTTACAATGAACTCCGTGGCCGTGGCTGCGAAGTTGCAAGAGCGATTATCGGCGAGGAGGAACAGCAGAAGATGCGTTGCGATGATACGGCGGCGGTCTGCGCACTCTCCCAACCTGGAAATGAAGGAAAAACGAACTTAATCGACCGTCCAGTGTGTTTCCACTCGAACGCTAACATTATCGTTTAAAATTCTTACAACTTATTGCGCGTGGATGTACGATTAAGTGCGTAATGTGTGGAAAACTATTTTAATTTGTTAATTGAACAATCTTCATTCTTTTCCGTAAATAATCCGCATTTTCTTTTCGCTGCAAGTGCGAATCAAGGAAAATGATTAACATTGAACTGTGAAAAATGTCGATTCGAACAAGTCGCTGCTGATTTGCATAGAGCACATTTGCATTAATCGGAAAATCGTGACCGAAATCGTGACTGACACGAGACAAGCGATTAAATGAACCACGACAACAAATTCAACGTTATCCCTTTTCCTTGCCTTTATTTTCCTTAGTTGTAAATGTAAATATTACAAGGAGCATAATAAAACACAATGTAATAAAAATCTTGTACATTCATACGAAACGAACGGTTTATTAATAGTAATAACATCTAATAAGGCAATAAAATCTATTAACTACCTTTAATTCCGTAAATTTATGACGCTCGAAATATAAATTGAAACAGAAGCGTTTCGACAGACTTTGGTTATCAATTTAAAACATTTTATAAGTCCTTGATTGTAAATCAAGTGTCTGTGGTCGTTGATAATATAATTTCAAGGGTTTTATGGTAAATTTAGACTGATACAAGTTTTTAATGTTGAAATGTAATATTTTAGTTGTATATTTTTGCTTAAAACGCAAATCATAAACTCATCAACGCAGGAAAATTGAATATCTGTAAAAACGGCAATAGACTAATGGATTTTTTGATGCGGAACATAAAAATAACACGATTACGAATAGTTGTGAGCAATTTGTTTCAATTTGTTATTAGTCTCGAATGGACGATCGCATCGACAAAAACACGTCGGGTGTGCGCGCGTGTATGCCGCGATGATCACGGATCGAGATCGATATCGGACGACTTCCTTCCGATAATGTTGCACATCGCGCTCGCCGCGCATTAAATTTATATTTATTTAGTACACGAGCAAAAATATATATATAGGTGTATATAATTTATTCCTGGAACCATTGATTTCTCAATACGTAGGTATTTAAAACTGCACAAAACACATTGAACCAGGAAATATACTGGTGTATGTGTATCAAAGTGATATTAATCTTAAATGCACGTTACTTGTTGATAAACAAGTCGTACCTATGTAAAAGATTTAAGTACACTCTTCAGTGAGGCTCACAATGCAAACGTGAAGTCTTAATTAAATTCCCATGGAATATTTTGCGTTCGTTCTTGCTGATCTTTTTCATTCCTTTGTGAGTTGAGTTTTTTTTATGCCTGCGCTGAGTAAAAACACAGGAAACCAAAAAATATAATAATGGCCGGTTGTGTGTGCGTGTCGTATGCGATGCCCTTCTGGTTGGTCGGCGGGCATCTGCGGAAGTCCGTTAGGATCCCCGCTAATCTGCGCGCTTATCGCACCGATGGCATCGCTCGATAAGCGCGATGTATGCGAGGTATGCATGATGTGTGCCCCGATATGCGCGCGCGCGTTTGTGGCGGCCATTGTGGGCCAGGTGAGGGGTTAAATTTCGCCTCGCTAAAATCGCAGGACTTCCCGCATTTCCCTCGCCTTTCTCCACGGTGCGCATTAAATTTTGCGTGTGTGCATATACCTACGTTATGAACGCGAGGGTTGGACGGGTTCTCACCCCGCTGTGCGGTATCATGTGGGGCCATACAAGGCGTGAATTCGGTGCCTATATATTCACCAATGCAAAACATGCATCTGCCGTACCTTGATCTTTATCTAGTAACAGTTTTAAGTGTTTTGCTAATGGTTGCTATTTTGTTACAGCATCGCGAATGTCATCGGGACAAGTATGCCGACCACACTTCCACGCACCAATCCACCCATGGTTATCAGACTCAAAACCGTTAAACCATCCCAGCCATCCATGGGTGCCCTTTGGTGGCGGTGATCCTGACAAGTCACAGTCGCCTTCATCGGTGCCCGTCTCACAGCCGCACAACCTCTTCTCGTTCCCGCCGACGCCGCCCAAGGACAGCACGCCCGACTCGATCGCCCCCGCTGGCGGCCAGGAGTACCAGAGCGTCGTGGCGGCGGCGATGGGCGCATTCATGCACGAGAACCAGCAGAGCTGCGCGCTGGACATCAAGCCGTCGGTTGGCGGCGGTGGTGGTGGCGGTGCCGCCGCGAGCAACAAACAACGCGAAGGTAGTGACTATGAGGGAACATCGACAGGCATGTTCAATGGTAACTTTGAGAGCTCGTACGGCTCTGCGTATGGCCACGGTATTCATGGTGCAGTGTATTCGCCGCAAAAGCAACAGTTTACCGGACAGGGCGCGCAGTCGCCGAATAAGCCACGGAACAAGTCGAGAACGAGCGCCGGTAAGCGGGTTTCAAGAGAATTTGACGATCGATTCACCGAACTCACGAAAATCAATCCGCAAACCACGCGCGTCGGCATTACATTTATTTTTTGGAATATTATTTTAAATTTCCGCCTATCCTCTTTTAACCGGTTTGATTTATTTGAGTTCATTCATGCTGTTATTGCAAATGGAAATTCGTCGTTTAACGAGGATATTGCGTTCGGCGCTACTCGCGCGCGAATTTCCATTTTCAATAACGCGATTCGATTATGTTTTGTTTTTATTATTTTGTTTAAAATATCACTACGTTTATGTTGGTACCTTACACTGCTCTCTCATGTGGAAAATCAATCCAGCGTAAATAGTTTTCCGGCGTCGTGCGCATTACCCACACAAACAAAAAATAAAATCGAAAGAAAATGGCCGATTTACTCTGACGCCATCCCGTCCATCCGGTGGCGATGGTGGCGAAATCCCGGCGGGCGTCAAGGTCCCTTTTGTCCGCACGTGTAATTGTGAATATGTGTGTGGGTAATTTCTTACCATTACTTCTGTCATTTAAATAATTAAACACGAGTAATTACAAACCGAAGGATGCGCACCGCGTTACAGAAACAATGGTTCGCGCCGGTCGTGCTCTACTAATTTCACTTCAAGCGTTATGAATATGTATAAAACGCATAAACGTTAATAGCGGGCGCACAAGTACGTAGAACGCGCTCGCCTACCATTGCCCAATGTTTAAATCTACAAAACACGCTTCGTAACATTAGCGAGAACATTGCAGCATGTCAATTGCGAATGCGCTGGATTGATTTACTACGGAACGGGATGTGTACTGAGAAGAGGGCGTTGCACAAAGATTAATTCATAATTTATTTCACTGTGCAACAACAACTCTCAGTTTCTATTTTCCCAATTTTATTTTGTATTCTTTTGGTTGTGGTGATTTTTTCGGGTTAATTTTAATGATGACTAACAACTATTCGTGTGCAGATTATTTTTTCATTTTTGTGTGCGCACACTACAAGTTTAGGGGAAGCGGAGCTGTTTTTTGTGTATTTTTGTCTCACCAACACACAAACACATGTTTCCTATCTACACCAAATTAACAAGTGTGTGGCTGCTGCACTCTACCGTACACGACGCCGTTTTGTTCACCTTGTTGTAAACCCACAGAGCGTTTATTGTTTTCGTGTGCTTGGTACGAAAACAACAACAGTCGTAAAATTAGCCACATCGCAGGTCGCGGGTTGCGCGGGCGTGCGCAACGTCCGTTCCGTTAGCTTACTTCTCGCGCACGGCCAGCATACCTACAACAATTAGCGGGTTGCACAGTATCCGCCATTTTATTTATAACGATGCGTGAAGCAAGCTAATTAAAAATTGCATCGAAACCGAGAGTGACTGCGTAATGAGGTGTATTCAGTGTTGCTGTCGCTCTGCGTGCACTGTTGCCACATCTTCAATAATGTTTCCACTGATGTTATTGTGCGACACGCCGTTTAATATCACGATGACAACAACGCACCTCTTGTGGGAAGCATGAGAAACTCACCAAAGACAATATAAGTAAACGCGTTTATTTTCATTTTCATCATTTTTCTTTGTTTCGCAACACGAAGATCTTTGAATAACCATCGACGCAAGGGTTGTTTGCTAATTGGATGACCCGCATGTTGTCTTACACACGCTAGACGTGCCAAGTGATCATCATGCGCAAGAAAAGCCCTTAAATTTCGAAATCGAAAGTTGTTAATCTCTAACGCGTGCAATGTGCTGTAAAATTGATCGGTTCCTGTTACACTTACTTAAAACTGTTTCGATGGGGTCGACTGCAATGCGTGGGTAGTTGAGGGATGCGTGTACAAGCATCGATCGCAATCCCGAGGGGATTTTCGACTTGTTTACAGTTTACTTTTTAAACGATTAAACGGTTATTTCCGACTCGGGAAACTTTTCGGTTTGTAACCGCAGGCCTTCCGCAATCGTCACACACGCAAACCGCACATTCTCAAATCGTATTTATTTCCAAGTCAAAACTTCACATCCTACGGTCGATAATCTTCAATTTCACGACTAAGCAGTGATGAAATGAAAAAAGGCAAACCGGTAGTGATGCTGAATGTGCAATTCAATAGCAACCACTTGAAAAGCATACAATTTCAACACAATTCTCATCCCTGCGACAAACGTGCGTTATTTATGCTTTATTTAAAAGTAAATGTATATTTTTCAGTTCACTTTCCCTCCGGGGCATACAAAAGAAGCGCACCACTAAGTAATTCATATTGTAAGGGGATTAGATCATGACCCATGCGACCATGATACTTTTTTGAACATTTGATCTGCTTATAATATTGACATACGTTTTTGGAGGCTGGGCATCTCCAGAGGGGTGTCCATTCATGTGGCTAATCACGTATATTGCTTAAATTTCCAATATATCGATTCGATTTGAATTCAATGAATGTATCTATGAATACCGAGGACAAGCGCGCTACTTTAACAAGCAACCCACTTTGTTGCTGTAGTTGTTGTTGTTCTAAACGTATCCAATTTGAGCATGATCAATATATTCCCCAAATAATACCTACCCACACGTAAATAAATTGAAGTACAGTAGCATTCTGTTTAAATTGGCGTTTTCATTAAAAAAAGAAGCAGCCCAACATCGACATCGCATTTAAGTATTTTGCATGCGGCTTTATCTTTATTCGCCCGTTGTGTGTCGTCGCCGTTGTAGGATGCATGTTTATGTTTGTTTGAAGCCAGCGCAAGCAGTAGCCAGAGGTAATTGGTAAGCGTAGAAGTTAAATTCAGCGAACGGCTGAGGACGCCTTGGAAAAAAAGCTTTTTGTGGACCGCACACGGCGAGACTGATCGCGACTTTAATTAGACTCAATTCAGCGGTGACAAAGTTGCTATAAGTCAACCGGGCGGCGGCGACGAGAGTCGAGAGCACGCACGCATGCTCGATTTACTTTATTACATTCGCAGCGAAGCGACTTCAGTCGAATAGAAAAATATTGATTTGTTGCGCCGCTGGCTAATATCAATTTGGGTCGTTGGCGTCGCAGCACATACGCTACCAATTTTCCAATAAGTGCATTAGACCTAATCTACTAATATCCAAAACCAATATTGCAATGGCTGCGATGTCCAATGGCCGCATTAATATTCATAAAACAATTTGATCGAATGTGGGTAGGAATAGAGTAGCTGAAGGAAATTTTGTAAATTGTTTTCTGTAAATTATTCGTACGAATGTTTTGTAAATATTCTTAGTTCACGCCTTGTTTGCACGCTTTTTAAATAGCTTGTAATGTATGTTAGTGAATTATATCTAAACACTTGTCTTAAACACTAATTATTTTTCAATCTACAGAAGGACGTGAATGTGTCAACTGCGGAGCGACAAGTACACCTCTATGGCGTCGCGACGGCACCGGTCATTATCTGTGCAACGCCTGCGGTTTATACTACAAGATGAACGGACAGAATCGCCCACTAATCAAACCAAAACGAAGACTGGTAAGTTGCTTAATTTGAAATTCCTAGTAAACTAATTGGAGATGCAGAGAGGATGCAAAGGATGCACATTTAAATAAGTTGACTTTTCATATGAAAGCACTTCATTCATACGAAAAGCGTTTTACTGCGTGCATTTGTTCCACATCGGTCGGCGTTATGTTGGGCAAACATAGAACGCGTTGGGATTTTCGTGCAGCGCGTCGTGGGCTAATTTTAAAAACATATTTCGAGTGAGTAGATTGATCGTGATAAGCTACTGCACCCGGCGCGGAACCATTGTGCCTCGAATAGCCCCCTGAATGATAACGATCGCCAGATTAAGATAGACCCGCCACCGAACTCATTCACTCCACTTTCTTTTCGTTTGCATTTTCGTCTGTTTATGTGTGTGTGTCTCATGTTGTGTGTCGTGTCGTTCGAGTGCAACAATAGAGAGAATTGGATTGAAAAATGACAATGCATCTCCTGGCCGTAATGAATAATTACGAAAGTGCATTCTCACACGAGAATATTTTTCGGCTTAGGGTATATTTAATTATAATTATCATTTTCATGTCATGACATAAATTATTAAGTAAATAGTGTTGGAATCCGTATGGCAGATGATTAAGAAAATCCACACGTCTTCTTCACACAGTCGCAACTAATGAAAATCAGCATATTGTAAAATAAATAACGCGCGAGTAACAGGGCGCATAAATTCATTCCTGCTGCCAGTTTGCAACGACACACGCGGCACAGCACAGCAGCAGGATTTACGATCGCTCTCACCGCATTCGGATGCGCACGTATATTATGAATGTGCAATTCGCGAATTCGAAATTATTAGGTAGAGCGAGAAATTTTAAAAACCTACAGATTCCTGTGTAAAACAAACGCTTCCACGATTTATGGCCGGCTAATTACCGGCTTGCATTTCAAATCGGCGCGCGAATCGTAAATCATTGTCAGTGTTTTTCGGGAAGCCGCAGAAGTCACAACACATCAATAATATTCCAACCTGAAGGGTGCTAGTTATGTTCTTAATATTTAACGCGATAATGAGATGGTGTTTACGTAATGTTCGACACCTGTCTTCCTCATAATTTCGGCAAAGCCCGCGGTGCACACTGTATGAAAATAGGGGATGTGAATTATTCATGCGGCGCGCGGGTGTCGCGTGTGGGTGGAATATATATATATTCGTAGAGCACGTTTACGACCAAAAAATAAACCCGCGTGGCAAATATGTTTGTTTTGTACACGCTTTATACGAATTTATGGCCCTCCAAGGGGAGCAGCGTGTGATAGGACAATGACTTCATAGACTCCCAAAATAGTCCGAAACCTTGCGACGTTAGGTAATCGAATCGATTTTTGGTGCGGCGCGCATCGAAGAACCTGTTCCAGGCGGCATCGCGGGCTAAAAAATAATTTCACATTGGGGGTGTACTCGCCCGCTCACTAATAATACGTTATGGTCGGTAGACCTCGAGGCACATTTTGGGTCTTTTGGGTTTATCGCATTTACATTCGGCGGCTTTCCGTTGCCGGTGTCGGTGCGTAACTCCTTCGAATGATATTTATTGCGCGGACAATATAAATCAAAGTGTGCGCGGTATGCAAATCAAACTGAGCTTCAGTTTAGTGCACCCGTGTATTATCTCAGTGGTTTTATTTTTTGAATCCACGTTCCTTGCGTGAGTGTAGGTTGTGTGTGTGCGCGATTCCGTGCAGCCGATCGAAAAACAATAGCAACCAGGTGCGTAGCGGTAGAAAACAACGTTAATGCCTTCGGGCACCTTTTTGATTCATTATTATGGGCTACGAAAATGTTGCGAGAAGCAGATATGGCACATTATTGAGGGCAGCGCGAAAAAAAACTTTGGATTGTAAAAAATCTATATTTTAGTAGCTAAATTATTTGATTATTAAAATATTACAAATAGTTAATGTGAATAGAATTATTAATTTTATGTTTGTCATTTTCGAAAGTTTTGTTTTTGTTTAATTTATTAAACGTGAAGGCGTGGTACTGGTTTTAATAAATTATTAATTTACAACTTAAATTATAACAATACATGAATAATGATCAGTTGACCAGCGAGTGTTAAAACAAAAAAGTCTATCTCTGTGAATATACGACCTGGACAACTCGTACAAGGTTCTTGTAGCCATCTAGCGTCTAGTTGAACGTTAAAATATGTTGCGCTTGTCAGTTTTGTTTAACATTTCAAAGGATTATCCTATCCAGCATGAGACACCAGTCCGAAGACTGGAAGACGGGTAAAACGAGTAGAAAAGGTCCGATTTTTATTTTCCGCTGCGCTACCGGAGCAAATGAAGGAATGGCTGTTAATAAAGACAAAAAAGCAACGCACACGAATATGTAAAATACGCGCGTATGCAAAGCGAGATGAGGGAAGGCTGGAGCGCAGAAGGCGCAGCGATCCACAAACATCATCCGCGCATAAAAAGGAAAATATTATAATATTATAATATAACACTAACTGACAGAATGAATGAAACTGGAAACGTCGTGAATGCGCTACGCCGAACCGCCGGCACCAAATGCAACGCATATCGATGGTGTAATTTATTCACGTTCGTACTTATTTTCAGTCGCTTCGGCTCCTTTTCGACGTTCCAGCTACTCTCTCAGCTATAGTGGCTGGATTTTTTCACTTTGAATTTTATTTCCATCTTGCGCTCGCGTTTTGTAACATGTGTAATGCCGCGCCGCGCGGTCAGAGTTTCAGACTTCAACGCGTCTACTTAGATAAAGTAATAACAATCATTTTAAATGTTGTCTTGAAAAAGCTTGAGACTTTTGACATCATTAAAACGGCGTTTAATACTTACTTTCGATTCGAGCGAGCTCGCTCAGGCAGGAGCACACAATGTCTCGAGGGAATTACATTCATTACGCATTGTTTATGCTCGCGCGCACTGGCGGCTAATTGTAAATTATGAATTTGTAATGAAATGGTCATTGATTTTAGTATTGCACCAGCGCAGCGCGTTGCAACACAAGCGCCGGTTTAACTTTTAACACACACACTCACTGAATGCTAAGTGCATCATGCGGAAATAGCGCTGTGCAATTGTGGTTGCAAGCTTCCTGTCCTTGTTTGCAATTTTAGGATGTCCTTTGTTAGTTTATTTTATTACCACATAATAACATTGTGCTTTTCCAAACGATTAATTTATAAATTGACGTAGGTAAAGTAATGATAATAAGTTTTAAATTTACCTACCTCTTTATGTCCTCAATATTAAAATTTTTAACATCTCTTACATTTGCGATGTAAAATAGTTTTCCTCGCGGGCAATAACGAAACTATGCATTTGTTTGCGTTGCGCGCGGCGCGGAAAACAAGAATGCAGGAGGCAAACTATTGGAAGTCGAAATGTTTAGAAGCGTGGATAATGTATGCTAATATTATGTGCTCTAGATAATAACTCTGGGACTTTGTCGGTTCGTGTGTTTTATTTGAATCGACAACGCGCACAATACGGACGACAAAGCGGCGGCGACGACGGTGTGTGGTTGTTGCAGCACGATGAAATTTGCACGCTGAAACAAACCAGCACAATATGCGCGCAGTAATGTTATTCTAATAATTCTCGCGCAGGCCACAGGCGTGCGTATAAATCGGAAGAGTCACAACGCGCTACCATGTAATAAATAAATAATCAAGCATCAAATGGGAATGTGTCGAGGAGTAAACGGCTTAACGACCGATATAAGATACTTGCATAAAGAATAGGAAAGAAACTTGTAAAATCGTTAAATGTGTGAGCGAACAGGCTGAGATTTGTGGTATGCGCATGCGTAGAGTGTTTTCATGGCGTGTAAGTAGCATCGATATCGGGTTACAATTGCTTCTGCCGCCTACGGTTTATTGTCAATTGTCATTTATTCAGATGTCGCGCATGTTTTTCAATCAAATGTTTATACATCGCCTGTGTTTGTTTGCGGTTTGTGTTTGCGGTCGCCATTAAACGCGTCATTACGCGTACATCGGACGGCCCTAATCGAATTCTCTCCGTCTCCAATCGTAATTTAATTGCGATCGCACATAATAATGACATTTGTATGGGGTGGTGTGGTTTTGTCATGGGTGGGGTTGAACGTTGGGTTGCTGGCTACGACGACATCGACTGCGGCGACTTATTATTAGATTTCGTGCGCCTTGTCCACTCGCGGCGGGCAGGTGCGTGCATGCGCGTCCGCACGCCCGGGGGCAGGACTCTCGACACCCCCGCGTCGACGCGACCCTAGCAACCGGCGCGCCGTGCGCCCTAGTATTGACTTTTCGCGCGCGCTGCGGCGCATCCTCTGGCGCCATCTTAAAAACATGGCGCGTTACGGCTCTATTAGTGCCGTGAACTGTATTACACTTTAATTGAGCGCAGTATGCATACACACACACACACACACACACACACTGCGATCGTTTAATAAATTTCAATAAAATCATCACCGCGCATTGTGCGATTATAAATGCGGGGTAATAATTTATCCCCGGCGGGCACACCGCGCGTATAATACGAAGAGCAAGAGGCTCGGCGGGTATCCACGCCGGACCACCACAGGTGACAATTTATAATTTTATTAAAACCAGCAACCGCATTTTCGAAGCCCAGCACGCATATATGAAGTTATTAATGTTTTGATGGTATTATTTACTCTTTATAAATTGCTCTCTACTCGGTGCATATATGCGTATTATGCCCGCACAATTGAGACGAGCTGGTTTTGATTTTTCATTCGCGCTGCTGGAAAAACATTTTGAAAGAAGAAAAAAAATTCTCGGCGTTAGCGAACATGACACTAGTATGCTCCCTAGACTCTCAAAAATAAAAAAATCTCATTCGTATTTTATCCAAGTTTATACAAACGCTGAGCACACCGATTAATCAATCTCGATTGCTTTTTTGTTGTGGTGCTTCTCGCTTTTGATTAAATTTGTTATTTCTTGTTCATCGTACGTGGTCTTCGTTAATCTTTAATTT